ATTTGCATCCCACTTTATGCCCAAAATGCCCTTCTTACACTTCCTTGACAAATTGATATAAGTTCAAGTATACATGTGTCACCTATATTACATAATAAATAAAATGAATTAAATAAATACATGTGACATAATAATTCATATTTTATAAAATAAAATTAATTAATTAGATGGGAGATAAATAATAAAATGTAATTCAAGGGCTGCCCCATGTGAAAACCACGCACACACACGTACACAAAATCCTAATTAGATCAACAATGTCAACAACATTAATTTTATAATTTTTAATTAATATCTTCTTAAGTATATTAATTTTATAATTTTTAATTAATATCTTCCTAAGTACATTGAATTTTAAAGTCTAATTTTATGTTCATTATCCTGGGCATCAAACACATTTGGAATAATTTTTTATACATTTTTTCAAAAGTCTAATTTTTTTACCAAAATACTCCTAGTGCATATAGAGTTGGGAATAAAGGTTAGGCTTGGAGGCCCTATTTTAATAAGAGTTCAGGCTTTAAAAAGTAATTTTTTTAAAGTAATTGGGCTTGAAAGCCTTACCCTGATAAGCTATGTAAAAAGGGGCTCAACCCCAGGTAACCCCTTAAGCTTGATTATATTATTATTATTATTTGTGAAACACACTTTTAAAAGCCAAAAAAGACCTACTAAATGCCTGAAGCCTTGAACCGTGAACCCTAATCACTCCTCCCTTAACTTTTTAAAACCTGCTGCCTGTGATTGCTTTTCTCTCTTACTTGTCCTGGCTCATCTCTCCCTCACCACCTCACGAGTCTCAACCATAGCTCGTCTTAGCCACTGCCACTTTGCCTCACTCGGTCTCTACCTCTCATTCCTTGTCCCTCATCCTCATGCCTCTTACATCTCGTCCATCTGACTCTACTCTTGTTCTTGCCTCTTGCATTTATGAAAGTTGATTTTGGTCTCTTTCTTACCTCTCATCGTTGCCCCTACTCTCCTTCTAACCTCCTATCTCTCAATCTCACAACCTCTTGCCTGTCGCAGCTCGTCTCTTTGCCTCTCACAATCTCACCTCTTGCTTATCATCTCTGCTTCTCGCTTCTTAGTTTCAACTATTGTCTCTCCTCTTAGGTTTTACTAGGTTAGTTAATTTCCAACAGATCATATATTTTTTTATTTTGATTATACACACAATTTTGTTAATAGTTATTATAGGTGAGGAAGAAGTGGTTGAAGAGTATATTGACATTGAAGCTTCTCCACCTTCAACAAGTAGACCTACTTTTGAGAGTTCTAATGTTTTTTTTTTATAGATGATGAGGATTTGGGTTTTGATTGATGAATGTTATAATTAATTTAGACTTCTAAATGTGTGTTGTTTAATTTCTAAATGATTATGAGGATTTTAATTTTTTTAATTTTAAAATATTTTAATTAATTTGTGTGCTTAATTTTATTTTTTTTAATTTTTTCAGAGCAGGGCTTACAAGCTAGGCCTTGACCCCTTCAAATAAGGATCAAACCTTAGAAAAGGGGTGAAAAATGGAAACCAGACTTAAGGGCTTAGGCGCTTATGGCCGAGCCTGTAAGGGTCAAGCCTGCCCGTTTTCTAGTTATAATTAGGTGATTTTTTTGCTTTTAAGACCATGAATGCGCCAAAATGAGGAATATAACATGTAAAATGAATCATAAATGAGTAGATAAAATATGTAAATAACGTATCTTATTAATTCTCCCACACTTGTCTTTTGCACTTTGGGAAAAATAAAGATAAAATAAACTCTCTTCCATGAAAATCAAACAAAAACAAAGAAAAATAATGCTCAAAGTTACCAAATCACTAGCTCATGAACCTCTACAAATTAACAATCGATGTGGCAACAATTAGGAATAAATTATGTACATCACAAACAAACCTTTACCAAGAATTAATTTCAAAGAGTAAGTCTCATTAGGTCAAGTGTTTGCTCTTTTTACTCAACGTATATAGAGCATTCAATTTCACTCAAGTTTCTTAGGACAAATCCTACCGTAGGCTCATAACCATTCTACATCTCCACCATTAAAATAGCACTTACAATCAAGAATCAAATGAACTTTATTAGGTTGTGATATGGCTTTTGAAAGGATGATTGGGGAATGCATGTGAGAAACTATGTTTAGCATAAAAAATGATGCTTTGGCCCAATCATCTAGTTTATGTATTTTTTTTAATCATTGGTTATAAATATCCTCCTGTTATAGGTAATTTTATTCAAAATATGATAGGGTATTGAACATAAGCATCGCTTCTAATAGAGATTTGAACCTTATTTTACTATATTGTAAGAGACTAGCCTCTTCTAATAAACTCAACTTTTACTGGTAGAACTAGTTTATGTATTCTTTTACTTTATTTTTTATTAATTATTAAGCTTAAATCTATCTGACATACAATTTTTCATATATCAACTCAAGGCCATTCATATTAATTTGGACATTCTAACAGTTTCCCATTTACAATTATCAATTTTTAATTATAAAAAATCCAGATTTAGTTTATCAAATAAACCAAACACAACCCTGCTATTATTGTATTTAATTACTTATCCCTCATCAAGCTTAGTATCTTCACCATTTACATTTATCATTTTGCTTTATGTAATTGACAAGGAAATGTGAAATATTCATGCGTCCAATTTTCTGAGAAACTCATCGTCCGTACATCTCGCGGGGTGGCGCCAGGCCGCCAGTAATTTCTTATTTCTTGTACTATGTTCTTATTCATTTTTTGTACTATTTTCTTGTACTCGACATATTGTGTCCCGTAAAGTACGATTTCAACACTTGGTCAAAAAAGGTTCAAGACTGTCTTTAACGCACGAGGTATTTTATTATTTAACAAAATTAATTTAGTGCGACAATCATGATAGATATTAAAAAAAATTTTGAAAGAATGACGGATAAACCTTAAAAGGATTAATTAATTTAAATTAAATTTTAAATATTAAAATTTATAAATTCAACTCTTAATTTTATAATTTTATTATAATGAATTTAGAATTTATTTTTCAAAACTTAACAAGAAAAACAAATTTACATATTTAAGCATAAGTTATAAATTTATTATAATGAAGTTGTAAAATTAATAGTCAAATTTACAAATTTTTGTAATTTAATATTTAAAATTTAGTCTAAATTAATTGATCTCCTTAAAATTTATCTGTCATCCTCCCAAAAAAATTGGTTATTGTTTTGAGGAACAACCATAAATCGGTCTAAGTTATTACAAAAAAAGGAGAGATGCAATAATTAATGTTAACTAAACACGTTTTTCTGTGATATTATTATTTAAATGTAATAATTTGCATGATTTATTATTTACAAATAATCTAGCTTTTTGAAAATATTTACATTAAAATATACTGAAAGAAATAATGATATTTGGGTTCTTTCAGACATTCAATTTATAAAATTGAAAGCTTGAATCGATACATATGGATCTTGGAATAATGAAGATTTTATTATTGAATATTATAACTTTTAGTTCTTTAAGTTGGTTTCAGTTATTGATTTGGTTCTTCTTCAAATTTAATTTTTATTAATTTTATCTCTTAAATTTATTTTGATTATCAATTTAGTTTATATTATTTAAAAAGGAGGTTAGAATGTTAAAATTTGTTAACATGAATAATATAATATTGATTATAAATTAATAAAAAGAAGTATTGATTATTAAATAGGAAAAAAAAACAGAATTCGAAATTTTTTTAAAATAAAACAAAAAAACAGTGTGAGTGATTGTATTGATAAAAGATAAATTAATTTGAGAGTTAATTCATTCTTATTTAGCTACATATACATGTCAAGTTATTAATATATTTTACATATTATATTATTTTAATAATTAATTTATATTTTAAAATTTAAAGGACTCATATGATAATTTTTAAAAATATAAAAACAAATCAATAAAATTTAAATTTAAAAGAATCAATAATAAAAACAAATTTAAGGAACCAAAAATTCGTTATTCAAAAATAAAATATAGTTTCCGTTCTGGTCATTATTGGTATTGGTAGTATATTATATAAATCAATAATTGGTCGTCTTTTCACAAGTCATTTAAAAATTGTGGAAAAAGCATCGATATTTACTTTTTTATATCATCGTTAATTAATTAAACACATGAATAGTATGATGACATGCAATTTTTGACCTAAAAAAAAGGGAGGCGAGATTATAAATATTAATAACTATTAAATATTATCAAATTAATACAACAATAAGCTTTTAAATAAAAATGCATTGTAGTAAAAATAAAAAAAATTAATAATGTTAAACATATAATTGTCCATATATTAGAGGTGATGACATGTTGTTAGATGATTGATTGATTGAAACGGGCACAGAAAATATGATCTTTATTCCAAAAATCAACGATGATACAGCAAAGTCAATGTAGGACTCTGAATGAAATGAAAGTGCGTCCTTTCATTTCTGTAACTCATGCTTCTGTTTAAAAAACATTGAAGACACTCGGGGCCTTTGAAGAAATTCGATGAAGTTAATAATACACAGATATATGTATATATATATATATATAACTTTAAATTTTTATATTTTACTCATATTTTATTACATGTCTTTACACTTTTTTTTATGTTTTAAATTCTTATATATACTTTTATTTTTTAATATTTTAAATTTTTAAATGAACAAAGTGTAAAGATTTTTGAATGCATGCATGCATGGTACTCTCGTATGTAATAACTATTCACGTGGGCTCTTGCGTGATATGCGGCATAACTAAAGCACGTGACTATAGAGATTTAGATATTATTATTTTAATTGTAAATATCGTGAGATCACAGGAGATATCTTAGGCAGAACATACGCGAGGATTATGATCGCGTCTCACCGTATATATGCATGCCGTGTGCAGCTTATGTTTTGAATAAAAAAAATATTCCTCCATTAACAAAATCTTTTTGGTATCAAAGCTGAGGTCCTGAATACCTTGTTTGTGTTCAGCCATGATTGAAACTGATGAAGCCAAGAGTGGTGCCGATGGGAAGAACAGTAGCGACACATCGTCTCCTTATTACTTACACCCATCTGATAACCCAGGGCAAGTTTATGTCAGTAAGCTGCTTAATGAAGGCAACTATGCGGAGTGGGTGAACGACATGGTGAACGCTCTCTTCGCTAAGAACAAAATAGGATTTGTTGATGGCACACTGTCAATGCCGTTTGTCGACTCATCGGAACTCAGTGCGTGGATGTGTTGCAACGCAATGGTGAAGGGATGGTTGAAGAGTTTGATGGACAAGGATGTTCGCATTAGCGTACGTTACGCTAAGAGTGCTCGTGAGATATGGACAGATCTCGAGGAGCGATTCGGAAAAGGTAATGCGCCTCGCGTATATGAACTCCGAAGGCAGGTAGCGATGATGCGGCAGGATCGATCTTCAGCACCCACTTACTACACCAAGCTGAAAAGCTTGTGGGATGAAATAGAGACGATCATGCCGATGCCTAAGTGCGGGTGTGGTAAATGCACGTGTGATATTGGAAAGCAGCTTGTTGAAATGAAGGAATGAGATCGCTTGTATGAGTTTCTCATAGGACTAGATGAGGCATCCAACACCATTAAAACTTAGATTCTTAGCATGAAACCCACACCAAGGCTGGGACAAGCATACCACCTGGTTATAGAGGATGAAGAACAAAGGCAAGTTTCAGCTATGCAGAGGCCTGTGATCGAAAGTGTGGCGTTTCAAGTGCATACTGATAAAGTATCTAGAGATGGAAAAAGGGAAAAGCCTAAATGCAATCATTGCCAAAAGTTAGGACATACAGAAGATCGATGTTACGAGTTGATTGGGTTCCCTGAAGATTGGAAGAAAAGGAGTCGTGACAAACGAGAAAGACGGACAAACTGGGGTGAGAAAAAGGGTATGCCACGTGCTGCATAGGTGAGCATGACTGAGAGTCCTATTCCAGGATTGACAACTGATCAATATGAACGCCTTTTACAATGCATCAACCAAGAAATAGACGTCAATAAGGTTGAAAGTGGACCGTGAGCCAATATGGCGGGTATGGTGAATTCTAATAATAGCTGGGTGATTGACACAGGGGCAACCGACCACATAGTTTGCAACCCAACGTTGTTGCATAACATTTCAAAGGCTTTAAATCAGCCTCCAATGCAAATTCCTAATGGAGATAGTGTGCAAGTGGCAGGCATTGGGCAGGCTACAATAAATGATCATCTACAGCTAGACAAAGTTCTATATATCCTAGATTTTAAATGCAATTTGTTGTCTATAATGAAGCTGCTAAAACAATATGATTATATGGTGATTCTTGTGGTAATATTTGTCTTATCCAGGACTACAGATCAAGGACCCTGATTGGAGTGGCTAGAGAACGGGATGGGCTATATATGTTCGAGTCGGAAATGTCACAAAAGGCAGCCACGCATGTGCGAAGTGTGATGAATGTGCGAAACACAGTGGATCTGCAGGTTTGGCATCATCGACTCGGGCACCCTCCTGAAGACAAAATGAAGAAAATGAGTTTACTCTCAAATGCTTTCAATAATGAGCTCTTGGCACACTGTGATTCTTGTTTAAGACCAAAACAGACCCGTCTTGTATTTCCTTCTAGTACAATAAAAACCTCTTCTTGTTTTGACATGATCCATTGCGATATATGGGGTGGATATACAGTACCATCTGTGTCAGGTGCACATTACTTCCTCACCATTGTAGATGACTTTAGTCGAATTGTTTGGGTCTATCTCATGAAGCATAAGTCAGATGTGAAAACATATTTACCAATGTTCTTGACCATGATAGAAACACAGTATAGGGCACGAGTGAAAACAATTCGCATAGATAATGGCTTAGAATTCCAGTCCAGCTTCATGCTTGCATTGTATGTTGAGAAGGGCATCACACTACAAACCATGTGCCCATATACCCCACAGTAAAATGGGGTCGTGAAGCGCAAACATCGATATATATTGGAGGTGGCTCGAGCATTACGTTTTCAAGCAGGCTTGCCAACGTCGTTTTGGGGGGAGTGTGTGTTGACAGCTGTGCACCTTATCAATTGCCTCCCGTCGAGGGTGTTGCGTCATAAAACACCATATGAGGTGCTACTCGGTAAGACACCGACATATGAACACTTAAGCAGTTTTGGGTGTTTGGCATATGCACACAACTCAAGAATTGTAGATAAGTTTGATGAACGTGGGAGAGCGTGTGTCTTCATTGGATACCCCACAGGCCAGAAGGGATGTCGCTTGTATGATATCCGTAGTGGAGAAGTCTATGTATCACGCCATGTGGTTTTCTTAGAAACTCAGTTTCCCTTCCAGAACCTACAAACCGAGACTACAGCTTTGGTTAGTAAGCCACCTACCCATGGTGCCATTATTGATGATGAAGAGGTAGCACATGCATCAGAGGCACCACTTACTAGTCATTCTTCTCTTGGTGAGACTGGTGCTGCGTCAAGTACTGAGCAATCGGTTGACTGTCTTCCTACTGTAGAAGTTAAATAGATTAATACAGTTCGTCGTAGTCAACGAACCAAGCGAGCACCAAGCCATTTAGGAGATTATGACCTCGACCTTCCAACTTCTTTAGCCCATCCGTCTCATCCTACTCTACCCTCTTCAGGGATCTTGATATCTGCATCAGGTAACTCCACTGCACACCCTCTTACTAATTTTATTTCTAACGTGCGTTTCTCTTCCTCGCACAAAGCATTCTTGGCAGCAATTGATAAGCAAGATGAGCCCAAGCATTTTACAGAAGCAGTCCGCCATGCACATTGGCGTGAGGCCATGGTATGTGAGATCGAGGCTCTTGAACAGAATGGTACATGGTCGATTGTCGATCTCCCACCTGGCAAACATGCTATTAACTCGAAATGGGTATACAAAGTTAAGTATAAACCTACGGGAGAGGTAGAGCGATATAAGGCTCGCCTCGTAGCAAAAGGATTTACTCAATAAGAGGGTATCGACTTTCATAAGACATTGGCTCTGGTTGCTAAGCTTGTGACCGTACGGTTCCTTCTTGCTCTTGCTGCCAAGATAAATTGGTTTGTCCACCAACTCGACATAAACAATGCTTTTCTCCATAGCGACCTCGATGAGGAAGTATACATGAAGATCTCACAGGGTTTCCATCGTTCTAGACCGCACAAGGTGTGTCGATTATGGAAGTCCCTATATGGTTTGCGACAGGCTTCACGGAACTGGTATCACAAATTCACAGATGCCCTTCTTGCACGTGGTTTTGTACATTCTTTTGCCGACCATTCTCTTTTCCTTCATCGACAGGGGGAGCGGTTCACAGCAGCCCTTATCTATGTGGATGATGTTTTATTGGTAGGTAATGATGAGGCTCACATGCAAAGTGTAAAGACTTTCCTCCATCAGCGATTCAACATCAAAGACCTGGGGAAGCTAAAATACTTCTTAGGCATTGAAGTTGCCCGATCTAGTGAGGAGTTCATGCTTAGTCAACAAAAATACATCCTAGACATTTTGAAAGATAGTGGAATGATGAGGTGTAGACCATGCTATACTCCCATGGAACAAAGTTGTAGATTAAAACCCATAGACAAAGACCCTTTTGCCAATGAAGGACGATATTGTCGCTTGTTGGGAAGACTCCAGTACCTTACCATCACACGTCCTGACATCACCTATGCTGTTAATGTATTAAGTCAATTTAGTGGGTCACCACGTAAGATCCACATGGACGCTACAGAACACATCCTCCGCTACTTAAAAGCGACTCTAAGACAAGGAATTATTATGAGAAGCTCTAGTTCATTGGGGCTCGTTGCATACTGTGACGTCGATTGGGCAAGCTGCCCAATGACGAGGAGGTCGTGTACTGGATACTTTGTTAGTCTCGGCGGTTCTCCAATCTCATGGCGTTCCAAGAGACAAAGTGTTGTGTCTAAATCATTCGCAGAGGCAGAATATTGTGCGATGGCTGGTACTGTGAGTGAAGTAGTTTGGTTGAGATGGTTGCTCAAAGAATTGGGTATTCGTTGCTCAGAAGCTACTCCTCTTTATTGTGACAATCAGGCTGCACTTCATATAGCAGCAAACCCTGTCTTTCATGAGCGAACTAAGCATGTCGAAATGAATTGCTACTTCGTTCGCGAGTGGATACAGTCCAAGGAAATATCCCCACGAAAGATTTGGACAAAGCATCAGGTGGCTGACATATTTACAAAGGCCTTGATCAGGGAACACCATCATGATCTGACTAGCAAATTGGGTGTTACGGACCTTCACACTCCAACTTGAGGGGGAGTGAAAGCATGCATGCATGGTACTCTCGTGCGTAATAACTATTCACGTGGGCTCATGCGTGATATGCGGCATAACTAAAGCACGTGACTATAGGGATTTAGATATTATTATTTTAATTGTAAATATCGTGAGATCACAGGAGATATCTTAGGCAGAACATATGCGAGGATTACGATCGCGTCTCACTGTATATATGCATGCCGTGTGCAGCTTATGTTTTGAATAAAAAAATATTCCTCCATTAACAAAATCTTTTTGAGGGATTTAGAATACTAAAAAATAAAAATATAGAGATTTAAAACACGATAAAATATGAGCAAAGTGTAAAAAGCTAAAGTTATATATATATATATATATATATATATATACATACATACATACATACATACATACATACAGAGATAGAAAGGTATATATATCTTTAGGAATTGAGTTTTGAAGCGTACAACACTCATGTTTTAATTTTTGCTTATGGAAAATTATAGGGCATATTTAGCAACTTATTTTTAAAATAATTTTTTGTTCTTCAAAATAAAAAATAAAAAAATTTATTTGGTAACATGTTTTTAAAAAATGTTTTAGAGAACACAAAAATCAAATATTATTGTGAAAAATAGATAAATGAAAATATCTTTTAAGTATTTTAAGATTATTGTTTTGGAAAATTAGAAGGAATATGAAAAATATATGTTTTCATTATTTTTTTCCTCGTAACATGTTTTGGAAAACTAGTATTCTCTTAATAATAAAACAAAAATAATATCAATAAAGCCCATAGTTTCTATTCTTTGTCACCATATATAGTGTGCTTAATTAATATTGCAACACATGAATAATATGCCATGACCACGTGATTCCTTGTGGTTTGATCTAGTAGTTTTGACATGTAATTTTTTGATTCACAATATAACCTCTATTTTATTTCTTTATTTCCAGTATCATCAACTTTTTTCATTCAAATGGCTCTCTCTTCTGGCTACAGCATATACAAGGCCTACTTATAAAAAAATTTAAAATAAATAAAGGTTTAAGACCAAGTTTTGTTACTGTATATTTCTACAATTTATAGATAATTAAATTAAACCTGGCAAAGTTTTCTATCTTGAAAATGAAATTAGTTGCTCAAAATGTATAGATGATTTTTTTAAATATTATTTTGAAATATATATTTATATATATCATAGATTCTTAGACGGTCAAATATCAATTGACATTTTTAAGAAATAATATTATACATTTTTAATATTATAC